GTTGAAATACCTTTACATTAAGAGTAAGAGTAACTTGAGAAGGTCTACCCGTGGAAGAAAGACCTGTAAGTTGAAATTTCCTCACAGGTGGGTTCTTTCTAGAGCATAAACTTAAGAAGTATTACCTCCATAATGGAGAGCATTATAGCTGATGTGCTAAAATGGTCGAAACTGGGAAATTGGTGATAAAAGTTTCAATATTGAAAATAGTTTTGAGAGTTTACAATGTAACAATAATACTGATGTATGTAATGTGTTTTGATAGCAAAAATGATTTCATTCTCTGATAAAACGTATTAACTGCGATTCTCGTAAATTGTCTTTTGGAATGACGAGAGAGGCAAGAGTGGCAAGTACTCAAGAAACAATTCTTCTTTTTCATTTCAATCATCCATTTATAGCGAGGGAAATCAGCATCGTCAAAGAACTCTGGGAGGAAATTAAAGAAAGCAAAAAGGAGGTGGGTAAAAATTTCTCGCACCTTTTTATAATACTGAAATGAAAAAAATGGAGCTACAGTTAACAGACGGACGGAGGGATGGTGGGGCTTTTGTCGAGCTTTAAATACATTTGAATCCTTCGCGAGGTTCGATGAATTTGTACAGCTGCCTAGATGTGTCACTTACAGCTGAGACCTACTAAATGAAGAATTTTAAACTCATCATTTGAGTGTTGACTGGTTGATTTTTCAGTTCTATAAATGCGAGCCAGTAAGGAGTCTCAGAGAAGAGGTATGCTGTTTCCTTCAATGTGGTTCATAGTCTCTCTAGCAAGCTTAAATTGATATTACCCAATTACCATTTCCTGATTTACTCGCAATTAATGTACGTGCACATGTAGTGGCCTTCACAAAATCGAAAGTGCAGGATGGGATTATTTTCTGAAGCGCTTTGGGAGCAGTCAGTTAGTCTACTGCACCTGATGGAACGCTATTCATCGCAGGTACCATCTCAGCATTTCGTCAGATTTCCTTGGCAGTTTGCCTGTACCCATTTATAATCCTGGGTGGAGAAATGCAATGTGATAAGAAGTGGCTGGGGATCTAACTTTGTCCCAGACCTTTCGATTAAAAGGCCACCGCGCCTCCTACAGATTGCATGATGAGGTAAACAAAAGTATTTCGACAAATAATCAGGGTTTATTATAAATTACCCCAAAACTGATTTGTTAAGTACTAAATAGTAGCGTCAAAGCTGAGGGCGAGTGTATCTCTGATATCGCAATTACGGAGCCACACGCTTTCCCATGGTGTGCATTCTTTTGACAGATGATCGACTAATGAATGTGGAAGTAACGCTAAAGGGTCATTAAAGCAAACTTCCTCTTCGTCCTTGTGTTTCCCTTGCCTCCATTCCATCCCTTGAAAAGAAATTTAGTTGCTCTCTCGACTTTCCCGCTACTTCAAACATCCAAGATGGTGACAAAACTTTTCACAAAGAAATAATAAGCGTTCGCTTTTTGCTCTGCCGGCTCCTGTGTTTGCATTGACAGTTATGAAATGTTTGCCTAGCTTCTTTTGCGCTTTTCGATGACTGGTCGTTGTCCATATCTTTATTTGCCGGTAAACTAGAATTTATAGTTAGCTAGAGGCATGTCTGCCTGGTAAAAGTAACGAGGAACCGCTTTTTATAACCTCGCTCGATGATTGGTGTAGAAAACTCGTGTCCCCTCTCAACCAATCATGTGCATAGTTATGACCAATCTCGACCAGTTCATTCGCGTTTTCCGTCGCACGTAGGCCCTATGCCTTTGAATTTTACTGAGTTATCATTTGCTTTGTGATATTCTTATTTGTCCCGACTGGCTTTTGTGATAACTTTGGATTTCATTTTAAGACACTGACGAAAAGCGCTCTAAAATCAGGTTTGGTTTGGTTTTTAGTGCCTAAACTTGAGGGTTCAAATAGAGACGCAAATGGAGGAAATAGAAGAAATTAAACAACAGCTCGCACTGCGAAGTAGATCACCAAATGACGAAAAGAGCCGAAGAAGGTCAAGTGCAGAAGCAAAGACTGCGAGAAGACTGATCGATAAAGTTATTTCAGCCGCAAAAGTAGCTGCGTCACATAATTCTACTAAAACCTTTCAAGAAAGGGATGTTGAGAGTAAGAGTCAACTTAGAACAAGTGATAGTGAATTGCAGCAAAGAGAGGGAATTGCTCGAGACGATGTCCCTGATATATTCGTAGAGAATGATATCGACGGAAGGTGTTATCTTGGACCGCGTAGAAGATCATTATTTGATAACAATAACAATGATGAAGTTGTGCAAGATGTGACTTTCAAGACATAAAGTAGGCCTTTCACGAGACGTCTCAAAGCATTAGTTTCAAAACTAGAGTGATTTTGAAGCCTTCCAGGTTTAGCGCGGGGTGTTATTTTGAAAGTGACATGTTTTAGAACACGGAAATGTCCCATAAGACAGCCGAAGATTCGACGCTTTCGATGGAGATATCGAGGAGATCGCGAAATAGACTTAAATGATTAAAATCTCTTCACGGATTAGAGAGAAGTTGCTACAGTAAATTTAGTCGAGCTTACAAAAAACGTTAATTTGGCAGAGATGTCTCTTTCAGAGTGCACCAGTAGTTCATAAATGGGCCAAATGGAAACCGCGAATATTTGCAAATTAACTTGTTGGTATGAATACACCGTAAGCTATTTTTCCCGAATGACGAACACCACCATGCTAGATTTTTCCCTTTTTAATCACTTCTTGTTTGCAGACAGATTTGGTTTTGTTATAATTGTTTTGTATCAGACATAAACACAAGTGGGAGGGTAAAAACGTGTGAAAACAAAAAAAATAATGACGATATGAAAGCGTTGATTTTGATCCGTGGTAAGCGTTTTACAACACGAAAATAAATAATCTAGAAAAAACAAACTTAAATCGTCAATTTGGATAACATTGGAATGCAGCGACAATAAGGGCGCAGGAGAGATTAGTGAACCTATTCCTGTCTGAGTTAGGCAACATATAATAAATCACATATTTGGACATCATGTGCCATAAAGGCTAAAGGTTACCACTGAAAGTCATCAAATCTAGCCAACAAAAATCTAATTCATTCAGACAACTCGTATAGTACTTGAGCACGCGACGGAACTCAAATTTTGAGCCTGTCTTCTCGAAGATGAGTTTGAATTATCAAACGAGGAATAACTCACCATATATTTAGCTCGTAATGCGCTTTGTGGTAATCTTGAACTGACTGAGGCAGACATTAGGAATCATAACCCAGTTTTTAAGACATTTTACACAACTTTTTCAATTAAAAGACTACGTCTCGGTTGGTAAGTTTACCTTTTGACGATAGATGCGCCTGTTTGATTAATACGCAAGTCAGTATTGCTTTGAAGGTCAATGACAAGAAAGCTGTAATTTTAGGATCATCTGGTGGCTAAAATTATCTGAGAGCCATTGATCTCCTACTTCCAATTATTGAATTTTATTACACCTTAACCGGGACTAAAAAACTCCGCCTCTGTATTTTTAATGTAAACTCAGGATGTAGAGGCGAGGTGGTATTTTCGTTGATATGGTAATAACTCATTTATTCGTTCTCGCCTGGCTCTCGAGGAGTTGACCTCAAAAATATGCGCGATAAAACGAACCTGACTTTTTTTAGCAATCCAAGCACGCGATTTGGAAAAAATCCGTAATCCTATTGATTTCTGATACGTGTGTTTATTTAGAGAGAGACGCATAAAACGTTTGATGGTTTTATAGAATTCTTTTAGCGCTTTTGTCAATAAGCCGCTTGCGCCCTTCAAGTGACTCGTCTAAAATTTTAGGCCACCCCAGGAAAACAATCTTGCACAAGATGATATATTTAAAAATAGGATACGCTTAGTCTATATATTTTGCAAAATTACTCAGAGTGAGTCGAAAAGGCGCTTTTCAGCTACAAAAATTACGGAAATTGAATATAACTAGAAAAGGAAACATGGAGCCAGGGAGAAGTATTTCCACGATGGTAAAAAATGGACTTAGAGAGAATTGCGTGTTGTTAAGTGTGGAAACGAAATCCGTAAACAAGGAATTCTGGAATGAGGCACAAAAGGAGACCAATTTGAGGGTTTGTTTCCTGTTCATTGTTTTCTTCTTTGAAAATTAATGAGATGTCCTGAATAAAACTGAACAATTTCGTGTGGTGACAATGTTTACGTTGCTAAAGTGATATTTGACATTGGGAGTCTGTTTTTGAAAAGCACTCAAAAGTCAGGAAGTGTGAGATGACAAGTGTTTTAGACGCGATAAAAATACAATTTATATGATAAATAGCCTTGGTATGTCTTAAAAACTCCAAATGAAAGAGGTTCTGAAATAAAGTCACGTAATGATACTGGACGATTTTTACCGAAGATTAGGTAAATACGGGATCTAATTGCACGGCCCTACACCGCATAGGAATAGAAAGAGAAAGGAAGAGAGATATCCCTACTCCGGCTTCGTAAATAATTTTTACACTTACGTGTTTAAAAAGTCTCGAGTCCCTTTCAGCGCTGAATCAACAAGTCTTGGCGGGGGTTATATTGATTCGTCCACAGAAATGTGGCTCCATTTCGACGTTGGTGAAAGTTTTCGTTTAATTCTAGGATGGACAGTCTTCTCCATTCATCGAAGTCGTTCTGACTTGTTAGCTAGTTTGGTCCGTTAATTTGGTGCTCAACTAAGAAATTTCCCCTAATGAATACGGGAGTCCCTCAGAAATTTTATTTTCCGAAATCCATTTCTTCTTTTTCACAAAAGTTCATCAACAAATTTCCTTTTGCCAAAGTGACAAAGACAACAAGACTGCATTATCACATTAAGGAGTATTAGTTTCATACTAATGAAAGAATTATTCACAGTCAAAAGATTTCACGGGTTGCCATCGCAATAAACTTCAATTTAAAGAGCTGAATTGTCTGCCAAGTTTGTGTTGTCGTATTTTCGAAAGTGACGTTGTGAAGAATCAATTCAGGATATCACTTTCATCACGAAATTAAATGTGCTTCCGAGGCTAATTGCATGTGCTTCAAATCTGCGGTCACAATTACAAGCTTTTAACCAGACCATGTGCTGCCTTAAGGAGTCTTTAATTGCACATTTTCACAAACAACAACCCTCGACCAATAAAACACTGCCTTCTATTTGTACATTGTTTGGCGTCTTAAGGCCTCATATTACGTGAAAGAAGCCACTTAAGCCCTTTTCGGCAGCCATTCTTTGCGTTCAGTGCTCACGCCTAGGTTAACCGCAGATTTAGAACGACAGAAAGTATACCTTCTCGAAAGCTTAAAAGGAATCGGCGCCCAAACACCCTTTCGCTCATTGTGTAAACAAGGCACACGCGCGAGAGTGCACCATGGCACTGAGTTCACAACTACGACGTGGTGCTGTAATTGGTTTTGCTTCAGCTATTTATTTCGCGGCTGATGTGCTGCAGTTTTGTTCTTTAAGCAATGTTTAATTTTTTACTTACGTCTTGCATAATCTTTTTGATAAGTGAATCTAAAGTACGCTCAGTAATTATGGTATAACGAAGGGGCGGGCAGGCAACATTGAATTGAAATAGCAACCTCAAAGAGCTCGCGTTTTATGTACTCAAAGGGTTTGTAACTGTTGAACGTAATGACAGTTTTAACAATAGAAAAGTTTAAGAAAAATTGCTGTGAAATCAAAGGCATTAACGACTGCCACGGAAGCTCTAATTTTCAAATTTCAAACTACTTCCAATCGCCCGTCACCGGAAAAACCTCAGCAATAACATCAAGTATGCTACTACTGGCGAAGGCAGACTTGATCACAATACATCTAATTAATGTTTCTCTTTACGTCTAATCGCGTGTTGACAAGCGACAGTGACAAATCGTTGATAAAGCTGCCCGAAAAAGGATCATTTGATCAGCTAGTGACATAACATGACTGTCACACTCTTCACACTTAAGAACCACGGCCACTCCCACTGAAACTGACACATGTCTCGTCCATTTCAACCCTTACGCATATTTTAGAGCGAGAGCTACAATGATCGACTTAATGAAACCCTAAATTCAGTACCTCTCTCGATAGCCGGATACTCGGTCGAAATGAGCTCGTTTTCGATAGACAGTATTCTCGCTCTTGAGGAGAGCAAGTGTGGAAGAAGGCAAGGAAACGAAACTCGCAAAAATGTAACTAGCCTGAGCCTTGAAGAACTTCGAGACCAAGGGATCAGTACGTCTAAGTGTGAAGAACGTAACAGTAGTTCTCCAGATTCAAGTCCAGCTCGTGGAACGGAACAATCTTCTTACGAAGGTACAGACCCAGCTAACATCCCCATATTTCCCTCGCAGTTCAGTTGTCTTCAATCGGCTCTATAAATTCTATTTTTGTCGATAAGTGGAGACTCAAGTGTCACAATCGCAATATTCTACTTGCCATATTCTTAAATTGCGCATCAAGTACTTAACCAAGGGTTACATGTAAAAGAAAATTTTCATGTTTTGGATTTTACACGAGACACATAAACAAACTCAGCAAGAAAGTGTAATCACGCAAGAAATGCATCGCGCAAAATCAAATTCACGAAGCGTGCGAAAAATTTGCGTCAGTGTTCCGCGTTCCTGCATTCTGTTTTTCAGTTCGTCGATCGTCATTTCCGTTTTTAACATTTTTCTTCCTTTTATTTTAGCTGATTCTACAGAGAGACTCGATGTAGAGGATTTTAGCAACGAAAACGAAAATGACCCAGAAACTGAAATTCCCAACACTAAAAAGCGAAAACGAAGAGTGCTATTCTCTAAGGCGCAGATCTTCGAACTTGAGAGACGCTTTAGACAGCAACGGTACCTTTCTGCGCCAGAACGGGAACAGTTAGCTCGACTTATAAACCTCTCTCCGACACAAGTAAAAATATGGTTTCAGAATCACCGGTATAAATTCAAGAAGCAGATCGGGGATAAAGGACATCTTGCGAGCGAGGCCTTGCCTTTCATGAGCCCAAGACTTGTTCCCGTCCCTGTTCTTGTACATGAAGGCCAGCCTTGTTATAGACATAGAACTTTAACCACTCCAAGGCAGGAATTCAGTAATGGATTCTCCGGTTATCCTCCAGTGCCTTTCCTGTACTCGAGCACCGGCGCTGTATACAATAATCGCTTCTGGGGCTTTTCTTAGATTAGAGTAATGCTTTAGTAAATAGCGTTCGAGTCAGTTATTTTGACGCTACTAACGCAACCAAACATCTAATCCCGTTCGTGTTTATACAACTTAGCTGTTACTCTAGGGGTTAATATTTCGTATTCCATTCAACATTAGACGTTTTGTGTAATACCTTCAAGATTATCGCTTTTTAACATTCAAAATTTGCCAGACAAGTCTGTGATGAAACAGAACAGTCTGTGTTCTTAAGCTGGTGGCCCAGTTTACTTTGAAAAAGCTTTAGGGTTAAGCTTCGTTTGAAGAGTTCTTGAAGTTTCGCCATGTGCAACACTAGCTTATGTACAAAAGATTACCGGTCATATCTATTTGTATTCCTGCTCATGAAATACTTCATTCTCAGCCGACAAGGACTCTAAGAACAGAAGTCTTAAGATTCTCACCATAGGCGCGAAACATTTGATAAATCCTCACTGCTGGGTGTTTATTGTTGAGAGTTTTATTGTCTTCAAGTCAAACTGCCCTGTGACAACGGCTCGGTTTAACATAGAATTGCAATATTTGCCGAGATCTTGGCAAACAAGTTGTATATGGTCATAAGATTTTGTAATCTACTAAGTAATATGTAAGAGCCACTGACAAACTCAGGGATTAGGATATCCTTTTCTACTGGCCATTAAATAACAATAAACTTCTCAGTGTACGAAAAGAAATCAACCGGACGCAGTTTGCGCCAACAAAGAAACGATTTTTTATTGTTGTTAGTCTCCTTTGCGTGGGTTTCTTGGGACATGATCAACGTCTATTATAGGATCTCAAACCTCGTTGGGAAAAAAAGGGATTTAAAGATGTTGGGAACGTGATGTTATCTCTTTAGGCGGAGCGTTGCGGCGATTCTTAAGCTCTACGTATTTTCGCGGTAATAGGGATAAGTAATGATAAGAGTGCATTCGTTATAACCTTGGTCCGGAGAGATTGGCGCGGAACTCTATCTTAAGTGCCAAGCGCGGCCTTCATCTCAACTGTCGCTTTAAAATAGAACTGATTTGCGACTTGTTTGGACTTATCTTTGCGGAGGAGGCGGCTATATCGACCAAAGCCGGGCGAGCGGGAAAACGAGAGAAAGACCTTTTCTTCAAGGGGTGCGTTGAGCATTGCGCGCAATATTCATATCGATGTCAACAACCATTGTTTGACGTTCAAGGAAAATTTCCAAATTTGCAGCTTAACGCCAGTGTTTACAGAGCTCTGGTTTGCGTTAAAATGATTAACAAGGAGTTAATCTTCAAAATTGAGTCTTCAAGGCCAGGTTTAAGCGATTACGCTTAGAAAATTAGAGACATTTTAGAATTCCAGTGTCGCTAAGTATTTCAAAAGGTAGCTACTTACAGTATTGACAGGAAAATAGTAAATAAAGAAATACAGTTTAAAAGTAATAAAGGGCTTTTGTAACTCCGCTTAATAGAATATACACCAATAGTCATTAATTCAAGATTGGAATGATAATTTTTGCAAGAAATAAATCGAGAAATCTATGCGATATCTCGACAGGTATGTTCAAATTTGCTCCACGAGTACACACAGCTTGTAGCGGTTTAGAATAACAAAGAAAGTTTACAAAGTTCATCACTTCAGCTGTCTTGATTTATCTGCGTTTGGTGCTGGGAACCTAAAATGTTTTTAAAACACACGAGAACATCCACCCAAGGCTAAAAGCCCCCAAAACCCCCAATCTTTTCAAATTATCTTAGCGTTTGAACTGGAATGACTCCACTGTCAAATTGGAAAGTTATAATTCCTTTTTTGACCCTGTGTGATTAACTGTTTTTTCTTCATGAAAGGTGATTCATATGCAAGCCCTGATGTTCCAAAATTGTTACAGGTACTAAGTCACTTAACTTATTACTGCGAAAGATCAGTTTGAAATGACATTATCATATTAATACACAATGAAAAAAAAAAAGGTTTTTTTAAATTCCTCTGTGGCGTTCGTGAAGTACATGTTGGTCTCTCAGATAACTATTCATTTTCGAAAATTGATATCTCTTCTTTAGTCCGAGAGTTGTTGAAAAAGAAAGCATATCAGGAGATGTTGCGCAGGTATCGCAGAAATTGATCTAAATAACTCCTGAGAAGTTTTACCGCTATTTGAGGTAACTTTTCATTCCATGACTCGCGTTTAGCTGTTGCGTCTTAACTCGTCTTGTTTTGGATCACAACTTTTCGTGTATTCTTGTTGTGTTCGGTGTGAACCAGCGAATCTGATATCTTACACATCTGCAACATTCTCCTAAAGCAAAATATTAAATGTCACCTCGAAAACTTAGTCCTAGAACACAAAAATTGTACTGAAGTTACATGATATGACATTTTTGTCTTCCACCATTGTAGTTCAGCTTTGATCAGGTGTAGTTGCTCATGTCAAGGCGTAGTTTCGCGTTGTATGACCGTTTTTGTTCTTGTACCGAATGAATGCGAGATAAACGTTACTGCGAGAAAAATACTGAGTTTGCCGTCAATATTATCGTTCATGCTATTTTATGAGATCTGGCATGCTAGATTATTGGTAAGAAATAACGCACGCTAAGATGAAAAAGAATTTAAAAACATTAAAAACAATAATAAAATCTAAGACGCCTTAGACAAGTTACTCTCCTAGAAAGGAGACCTGTATCAGTAATGTATTTGGTTACTACGGGAAACTGATGCTGCAGTGATACCACTGATGAATATCAGAGGATTTGCTGGGGTAATTCCCTTCCTTTGTAGATGATAAACTTACGCAGATAACCTTCTGCTGCCATCGGCCTTAAAAAAACACTGAAGAACCTCTTGGAGAGTGCATCTTCTTGTGATAAACAGATAGCTCTTCTTACGTTGCGTAATCCCTAGGAACTTTATGCACGTGCAATGTTCTGTGAAGTGTTTACGGTCTTGCCCGCGGAATAATATCTACCATTCTTTTATCTCAAATGTTGCCTTTACTATCGTTTTTTAACGTTTGTTCGGGCTGCAACGTTGGAAAATACTCCCTGGAGAACCTCTGCCTTTTCAGTGAACAGTGCAAGTAATATCAATGTTTGCCTGCCCATACTTACAAGACAGCTGAATCCTTTGCTGAGCGGCTAAACGCATCTCACGTAGGGCGGAACCATACTTGTTCATTTGTAGCAAGTCTCGTTCATGAACGGATTAAATCAATAAAACACGTAGCTAAATACAAAAGAGTTTTATTTCGGTAGATGAGTGTTTTTATCTTTAGTACAATTCTGATAAAACAAAGGCTCTTAACATGGCCTTGAAACGGAAGGCCAAGTAGGAGGAGGTTATCGTCAGTAAATCGAAGCATGTCAAACAGTTCTATAAACGAAAGCTTTGTAGTCCCAGATGGCAGAAGTACTTTTTGTTGAAAACCATCAATTTGGTAGACGTAAAGGTGCGTGAGTATAACTTGAAACATCAGACACATTCGCATGTCCATCGGAGACTTCTGCCGGTGCCAAGTCAAGGTTTCTTCGGTATGTGCGCGCGCTTCACAAAAGACCAATGGTCCATGAAATTTATTTTGGTAGTTCCGTTCGTTGAATGTGCTAAACGACCCCCTTTGCTATTTGAGTGCCTCTAAATCTCTTCGAGGAAGGAAATATTTAATTATAGTCTGCCTGTCCCCCTCAGTGCATTTAACGGCTCACGTTCGAGTTGTACGAGAAAGTGAAGGGGGACAGAAGGGGGGAAGAAGACTCAGGGGGAATACAAGAAATATCCCTGGGAATTTCCTGTGTGAAATCCTTGGGAATTTCCTATGTGAAATCCCTGAGAATTTCCTGTGTGAAACAAGTGGTGAGCGGTTGAGAACCTCTCAGTCTTCTGCCGGACTAAATGAAGTAGATACTCATGAAAAACAAAGAAAAAGCAAATGTGGGTTACAAAAGGCGGTAAAACGTGTGGTCGTCTAGACTCTCCTGTAATTTATCATTGCACGTCTCATTTTCCAAATTCATTATCAACGTCCCATATTTAAAAGAGCACCTGAAAAGCTTCGCGGGTTTCACCTGCTCTGCTTTCGGTTAAAAAACCAACTGTCATTCAGAACGTTTAGTGAATCACGTCATACAGACAAGATTGTTTCCTCGATACCTTGCCCAGAAATTTCCACGAAACATTACTATGTCAGAGAATCATGGACTCCCGAACGTTCGATACGGAAACACCTTTGATTTCAGCTTTACCCACGCATCCATCTCAGTTACGTGGTTGTAAGTTCGGTAACGATTAGAAAAGATTTCTGAGAGTAAATAAAAAGCTATCTCGTTATCTTATTTGCTGAATTAGATGTCTCTTTGAGTTTCGAGATTTAGCTTTTATTTCCGTGATGTGTTGGTTGAACTGAATAAGGCTTAGACTGATTATTGATTAAGAGGATTTCAAGGGACATAAACCAGACAGGAGAATCTTTTTCAAATGTCTGGCTTTTCAATGCCATGAATTTTTTCTTCTCTACGAAAAGACCTAATTGTCGCCATGATGGCTATAAAAACAACGTCGACTTTTCATCGTTAAAAGCTCTTGTCGAAAAGAGGATAACTCTGTCACCTCCTATTCTGCCCTTTCCCCTTAAATAAGATGGAAAAAACTATTTCGACTCTTACAAGACCAATGGCCAACCGTTCATTTTCCAAACGTTTTTTTTTTTATTTTTATTTTGCCTTCTTTACTTTTTTATTCTTCTCTTAGCTCTCGGGCGAAAAGGTGAAGGGTTTTGGGATTCATCCAGAGGCTTATTTAAACCACCTTGTACAAATGGAACATACGTGCAAGTGCTGCTTAGTAGCTCTTATCATGATGGTGCCAACTTGGATTACAGTAATCCGTTATTTAACAAACAATAACACATGGAAGAGAGAGAGTTGCACAAAAAATAACTTTTTTCGATTGGTAACGTACTAGGTTTTATACCTTTCATCCTTCAAATTTAAAACCAACTTGATTAATATCATGAACAGTGCAACTTGAAAGGAATGTTCAATTCATTAGTGTGGAGGTCACACATTAGGGCTTGATCCAGTTAAGAACCGCCTTGCACGGCAAAATAAAAAGAACCGCATGGAAGTACTATTTACGCTAATTTCTACACTTGAATTTTATCCAATTTTAAATTGTTGAAACTTCCTTGCACGAGATATTGAGCATGCTCAGTGACTTACGTTAGAGGAAGGTTTTATGTTTGTAAAATACTTTCTGAAAATTGGCCGTATTAAGGGTGATTGTGGTTTCCAATTGTTTTTTTTTTCTTTTTTTTCTTCGCGATTTGAAGCGTTTTTTGGTCGTGACGTTATCAGATATAATAAACTTATAAATGATCTGCCTTTCGGCAGAGTTGAGATTAAGCCAGGCCTTTCTATTGGGTCAGTCCCCAATTGCCTCCTTTCAACAAAAAGGTGAGCGGAACGAGGTTGCGCTCTTTCGTGTGAAACGTTCTAGTCAAGGAGTGTAGTTTTCAGCCCTAGCTTCCAAAACATCCGCCAATTTTTGTAAGTCTCAAATCCTGCCAAGCTGTTTGATATCTGAAACTTTGTTGACGTTCCTTCCGAAGACCATAAGCACTCTTTCTCTGGTCATCTTGACCTTCAACACCCTTTAACATTAGTATGCATATTTCTTACACTCTCCTCTCTTTGCTGGGCGATTATTTTCTTTACTCTCGCGGACCTGAATATCGGTGATGATACGTTAAGGATAAAAGAGATACCAGTTACGCCTATGGGTTTGTGGGTTATAGATTTCAACCGTCAAAATGTCGTACCACTGAATTTGTATGGAATTTCGAAGCGGCTGATATGCGATAGCCTTAGTCGGACAAGCATTTGTGTTAATAACTATTCCAGATCTTGATTTCTCTGAATGTGGTTGATTTGAGCTTTCCAGCACTGACTTCTTCAGCTGTGCTTGCTTCGAGGGCCCTTTTCCCCAGAGTTGAATTGAAATCTCGCAAAATTACTGATATAATACTTGCATCCTGTAATTTCATGCACAGTTGGTACAATAAATTACCTTGATAAATTCCTTAATTCTCCTAATATCCGTGTTAGGGTAAGGTAAGGTCATTGAGAAGGAGATGAACTGTGAGCATGTTGCCTGATCCTGTTGGTTGAATGGTTCTTATCACTGATGCTTTCAAGGAAACGTGAAGTTTGAAAGGAAATAAAATAGAGCTCTGACAGGAGGATGAGGGTAATGTTAATTAGATTTCGCGATCGGATTTAAGTCTGCATGCAAGGCTATGTTACCTGTGCAGAATTCGCGTGAACAGGTGCTGAAGAACATGCGATTTTCCAGGGTGATATCAAAAAACATTTCCTGCTGTGAAAGTGAAAAAAATTCCATGTTGAACGTGTCTCAACTCGTCTCCAATTCTTGCCAAAAGAAAAGAAAGTTACAGGCAGTGATGATTAGTTACTTTAGTTGACATAAACCACGCTAAGCCGAAGATACAGTGGTAACTGCATGAAACAGAAAAAGCGATTCAATTCGCCCGATTTGCTGTTTACTGAA